TTGATTTCTCCTAGCGGTGCCACAGTGCAGGGCGTGTGCCGGCCCCTAGAATGCATCACATCTCCATTCCTTTGCTTATCCAGGCTGCCCCTCTAAACTGTCACAGAAAAGCAGACACCCAGGAGAGGTGATGGTTTACAAGTAGGACTGTATCCCTCCTCGTGGGTTTCACTGCGCTTCAGATCTTACAGTGTAGCAGTGGTTCTCAACCTTCTGGCCCTGTAAATACAGTCCCTCGTGTTGTGACCCAACCATAAAATTATTTTGGTTGCTACTTCATAACTGTAATGTTGCTATTGTTATGATTCGTAAAGTAGATATCTGATATGCAGGATGGTCTTAGGCGACCCCTGTGAAAGGGTCGTTCCACCGCCAAAGGGGTCGCGACCCACAGGTTGAGAACCGCTGGTAAAGTGTCACCAACATTGTTCATAGGGCAATTTCTAGAATGAATCTTCTCCTGAGAATTAATTAACCTCAGGGTCTAGAAGGAAGGATATTTCTTGTGATGAGAAATGCGAGTGACCCTCACGTACCCTTTTACTGGTGTGTAGTTGCTGTGTTAGAGAAAGAACACAAGCCGTGTGGCATGTTACCTTTACGTTGCTCGGCAGTCAGCTTATTCATGTATGTATGTGCATCTCACATGACACTAACCAAGACACACAAAGGTGTGGGAATACTGGTTCTCTTCATTCACTTAGTTCGTGCTTCCTGTTTTGGAGTCTCTGATACTTTTCTTGTTGATTAAAGATAAGGTGTCATTGGAGAAGCTTCATTAAATTCTCACTTCCAGAAATTAAATGTATACTCAGCGTATATAGAAATCACATCCATTTGCATGGATTCTTTAATTCTAACAGCGAAGAAATGTCTAACCCATCAACTTAGCTTTACCCTCTCATTTCGCTCAGGTTTAGTTCACGTCCTTTTCCCTCTGTCATCATTCCTTCACACCCCACCACCCACAGCTCACATAATGAAAGTATCAACAATTTTAAAAAGAGGAACCATCATATTCAAATTATCTTCTTTTTCAGAATTTTTGACATTATTAATATAAGTGGTAATGTTGAAATATGGAGAGACCATGGACATTTGCTCGTTGACCAAATGAAACATGATTTATGTTAATTAAATAAAACGTGCCTTCTCAAACATTTAACACTAAAGTTTTCCAAAATAAAATTTTTCTCATAAGAAACTGCCTTTTTTGCAAATTTTTACTTTTTCACCTAATAGGGAATGCCTTAAAGTTTGTGCTAAGTGTAATCAATAAGATGAGAGAGAATTCTGCAGATTTTCATCTCTTTAGTACATTATTTTCTTTCTGTTTGGTAACTAATATTTTCAGAAGTTTCTGGCATAAACCCACATGCAGTTCAGTTATGTAATTAAAGAAACATGCTTGTAAACTTTAAATTATTTTAATGATTATTTTCTGAAGCTAAAATTTAGCATGAGTGAGAGATTTAAAAAAATAATGGCTTCTTAAAGGCAGAATTTTTACTACCTCATGCAAATATAATATTGGCAGCAGTCACTGTGTTGCACTGGACTGGGAGTCAGGAACCCTGGTTTCCAGACCCCCTTCTCTCACTAACAGGCTGTGTGATCTTAAGTAAGTCATTTAAAGTCTATGTCCTTGGATTTGGTTTTTATAAATAAAGATAGATAATATCTTCCTTTTAAGATTATTGTCAAGATTTCAAAAGATATATAAAAATGCACTGAAAATATATACAGACATGGCTTTTTTAAATAACTAAACTGTGCAGTCATTGGTATTTTTATAGTGTGACATTCTTACTTGTCTTTACTATTGTCATAGGAATCACGTGTTGATATGATAAATGTTTTAGAGTATGGTATATATTGTAAGTTAATCATCTAGTGTATATGAAACTGCTTTTGAGTACTAATAAAATCTTTCACTTCATATTCCTACTGTTCATATTTGCTTTAGTGTATCTACAGAAGCCATATTTGTCACTTGTTTTTTTATAATTTGTTATTATTTCTCCCAGGTCAGATTTATTAGAAAGCCTTCCCTTTCTCAGTACAGTGTAAATCACAGACACACTTAGTTTATGGAAATTTAACTATATGTGCTTTAAAAATACTCCTTTGTACAATATGGCTTCAAAATATAAGCTGTCTAATTTGTCTGGTGCTTAATAAAATGGAAACACAGTAATTTGTTTAAAAAATGGAGGAGAAACTGGGTGGACATATTTTGAACAGTGTGGTATACAAAAAAACAACACTTTAAACAGTAATGTATTTTTCAAGGGTAATTTTAGCCACACATAATTTCTTTTAAATATAGTTTATTGATTTTTTACAGAGAGGAAGGGAGAGGGATAGAGAGTTAGAAACATCGATGAGAGAGAAACATCCATCAGCTGCCTCTTGCACGCCCCCTACTGGGGATGTGCCCGCAACCAAGGTACATGACCTTGACCGGAATCGAACCCAGGACTGTAAGACACAACCCAAGTGTAATTTTCAAATAGCAGAATATTTGGTCTATTTACTGGGATTTGTTAAATTTCTGTTTCAGTGCTGAATATATTGTGCAGTAGTTACTGTGATAAGATGGGACTTTAGCCTACACTATAATTTCTCTTGTATAATCTTAACAACAATTGTTCTGATTTTCTATAAGTTGTTACCACTATAGGAGTAGTCACATTACCTTATAAATAATCAGAATTTGTACAATCAAATGAGTGGTTATTTCTCTCACCCCCAAAAAAGCAATCACTTTGGGAAGCTATAAACTTGGTTCAGTAATACTGCCATTGTTCATTAAAAATTTTGAAATTACTTTCAGTTTGCAACACTTTAAAAAGATATCTTTAATGGTACTTAATCTTCATCTTTTGAAATTGGATTTAATTTCTGGAAAGTTCTCACACAGTCTTTTATTACTGAGACCAGTGAATAAAATTTGTATTTAAACCACTCTTTGGGATAAAAATGAAGTGAGATTATTTTCATATATTTATATATACATTTGATACTATGGTTTATAGAAAACCTCCAGGGCTATTCTGTGCCATAGTAGAAATATTGAGATAATCAGCCTCAAAGGGGTGATTTATTTGAAGGATATAGCACTCAGTTGAATACATAAGCTATTATACATGTACTAGAGGCCTGGTGCATGAAATTTGTGCACTCGGGGGTTGGGGGGCGGGAGTCCCTCAGCCCAGCCTGTGCCCTCTCGCAGTCCAGGACCCCTCAGGGAATGTCTGCCTGCCAGGGGGATAGGGCCTAAGCTGGTAGTCAGACATCTCTCTCGCAGTCTGGGGCTCTCGCAGTTTGAGACCCCTCACTCCTTACCGCTCACCTGCGGTAGAGGTGGGAGAGGCCACTGCCACCGCTGCTGCGCTCCCCAGCATTGACCACCAGGGGACAGCTCCTGCACTGAGTGTCTGCCCCCTGGTGGTCAGTGCACATCATAGCGACTGGTAGTTCCGCCAATCAGTCTATTTGCATATTAGGGTTTTATTATATAGGACTAGAAGCCCAGGGCATGAATTTCTGCATGGGTGGGGTCCAGCCTGACTGCCCCAATTGGGGCCAATTTGGCTGGGGTCCAGCCACTGCCCCAATTGGGGCCAATTTGGCTGGCCAGGGGGAGGGCCCACGGGCGGTTGGCCAGCTGGCCCTGCCCCCTGGTCGAACTCCTGATATAGGGGACAATTTGCATATTGGCCTTTTATCTTATAGGAGGATTATGAGGTCAGTCTCATTACATTGTGATATTTCTAGTTTCCTTAGCAACCACAGAAGTATATATGTGCTACTGTGTTATTGTTTTTCTAGTTATCTTGTCTCTAAGTGTTTCTTTACTGTATGCTTGTGATAATTTTGATGGAGTTCATCCTTTTCTGAATTGGAAATTTACAGCATTTGTTTTCCTTTCCCAATACCATGCTCTGCTTCACCATGAAACTTCTTTTTATCTGATTATGTTATTGGTTTGTTAATAAGTTTTCTGTTGTATTA